CACACACACACACACACACACACACACGCGTTTGCATACATACATGCACATACATCCACGTGCATATTCAGAAAGAAAGGGAGAAGGGGCAGGTAACGTACTGCAGTGCGGCATACACTTTGTGTATGCTTGGCGGGAGCTTGGTGCGTGGCACCATAGTCTCTCTCCCCCCAGTCCATAGAGGGAGGGGGTTGGGGAGCGAAGAAGAAAGAGAAAGAGGGGAAAAAAAGAGAGGCCTCGATGCCATTCAGAGAGCAAGAGTGGTGAATGGAGGTGATGTTTATGCGAATGCGCTTCAATGTAAGTCTGTCCGTCTGCATTGAGTCTCACATTCCTGTTCTTTTTTCTGTAATTCGTCACCACCGCAGTTAGAGGAGGCGGACGTGTGGTGTGTGCGGCCATAGGGGCGAGTTAGCGCATCCACATGTTTAGGCTCGCGGTGGCATTGCTCGCGAAGAAGAAGCCGCTGCCGCCGCCGCCAAAGCGGGGGCGCGGTGCAGCATTAGCAGGGCGCCGGGTGGTGAAGTCCCCCCCGAAGAGGCGCACGCCGTCGCAGAGTCGGCGTCCTGCGGCTGACACAACGAAGGCGGAAGACGCCGTGCCAACACGCGGCATCGCCAACACCGCAGCAACAGGCAGCAGTGTCAACAACACAGCCAACGACGGCAAGACCAGCAACAGTGTTGTGGTGCAGGGGGCGTCGGTTAGCCCCACAACGGGTGGNGTGGCCGATGCGGGTGAGAAGAAACCGCTGTATTGCCTCGCCACCGCCGTCTCTACCATTATTGTTCCTCCTGCGGCGAATGCCCTCCTAGAGGGGATGAAGCAGACACTTACACCGGCTGTGCAGAAGCCGAATGATGTTGGTGCCAACAGTAGCAGCAGCAGTGGTAATGACAACAGTCACAATAGTGCTGACGGGGGGCGCGAGCCCATATCCCAGATGGAGGAGTTCTATACCCCCAAGAAGGGCCCTCTGTTTGCTTCCGCAGTGATTGCAGGAACTAACGCGGTGAAGCAGACCAGCCAGCTGATTCCGTTCTGCCACCCGATGCGCATTCAGAAGTGCTCCTTCACGTTTAGGCGGCGCGTTGTAGCGGGACTCAGCCGCACCTCCTCCCTCCCACACCGCGTCGTGCTGCGGAAGCGCACGAGTCCGCCACCGCCGCCGAGCCGTGCGCGTGGTGGGTGTAGCGTGCTGTACTGCTTCTGCACCGTCGCGACCGATGACGCCAAGGCGGGTGTCGAGATGGAAGCGCTGACGGGAGCGAGCGTCGCCGCGCTCACGCTGTACGACATGCTCCGCGGCCTCCCCGGCGCGCAGGAGGACGGCCTCGGCGTCGGCGAGTCGTTCGTGCTCGCCAAGCGTGGGGGGAAGAACGACTTCACGAAGCTGCTTATGTCGGAGCCTGGCACGCCGCCGCCTGCGCCCGAG